ACCCCCAATGTAAAGAAATTCCTCCTCATGTTGAGGTGGCTCTTCTTGTGATTTTATTTATGGCCATTGCTCCTCGTCCTGTCAATGGGAACCACTGAAAAGAGGCTGGCATCATTCTCTTGACACCCACTTTTAAGATACTTATATACACTGATGAGATCCTCTCCCAGTTCTTTCTTTTCTAGATTTAACATCCCCAGCTCCCTCAGTCTCTCCTCATGAGAGAGATGCTCCAAACCCCAAATCATCTTTGTGGCCTCTGCTGGATTCTCTCCATTACCTCCTTGACTTGTGCCGAGGAGCCCAGAACTGGACACAGCATTCCAGATGTGCCTCACTGGAGCCAAGCAGAGGGACAGGATCACCTCCCTTGACCTGCTGGCCACACTCTTCCCAAAGCACCCCAGGATCCCACTGGCCCTCCTGGCCACAAGGGCTCTGCTGGCTCATGGCCAGCTTGTCATCCAGCAAGGCCCCCAGGTCCTTCTCTGCAGAGCTGCTCTCCAGTGGGTCACAGCCCAGCCTCTGCTGGGACTTGGGGTTTTCCTCCCCAGATGCAGGAGCCTGCACTGGCCCTTGCTGAACCTCATTGGGTTTGTGTCTGCCCAACTCTCCAGCCTTTGAATGGCAGCACAGCCCTCAGGTGTATCTCCCACTCCCCCCAGTTCTGTATCATGAGCATAAGATGGTACAACACAGTACTTCTGTAGGCCTAGATTTATTGCACATATTTAGTGATAATTCTGAAGAGGAGATAATAACCAATCACTAATTAAGTCAGATATGACGAAAGCTGTTCTGAAATTTTGAGTGGCCTCTGATTCCAATGGGGACTGCAATAGCAGGGAAAAATGCCAGACAGCCAATTAAAGGTCTGGTGATTGAGTAGAGCAACAAGAACTTCTCATGTGGATTTCCAGATCTTAAACTAGCTATTATAACTCAGGGAAAAATCACAAATTTAATGTGAACAACTCCTTTCCTAAAACAAATGCACATCAGCTCAAAAGACATCAATATGAGCCTCAAAAACTATTAGGAAAGGTAGTACTGGAGTTATGACTTCTTATAACTTCCTGGAACAGCGTTTTTCTCACTGGTTACCAACCTTAAAAACAAAACAAACCAACCAAACAAACAAGGCCCAAACCCCAAATCAAACCAAAAACAAAACCAAAAAACCCAAACAAACAAAAAACGGCAAGGAAAAAGAGGCAATAAGAGCTGAAAAATATTACGGCAATGAAAAATTTGCTTAAAAGACAAAAAGACATACTAAAAACAAAAGACAAGACAGAAGTCCTTTTTTTACATGACCATTTCTTAAGAAAAAATATTTTTACAGTTTTTATTCAGCTACAATTTTGTAAAGATCTCATGGAAGTTTCTACTGTAATCATTGCAGAGCGTTAAAAGAAATGGCCCCAGTGTTTTCAATGAGAAAAAGAATATGAAGAAACACAATAATATTACAAAATGGTGAAGAGAATGTACTTTCAACAGAGCATAATTAAACTGTGTTCTTTACATTGCTGTAAAGAACATCTATAAGTCATAGTTAGGTTAAAACAGTGAAGATGACAACATTTTTTTTTCTGCTCACGGTAACAGTACTAGGTGAAGTTAACATGAATGTGAACTCAAACTCCCAACCAGAATTAAAATCTAAGCTATTTCATCGCGCAATACTCAGGAAACAACACTTGTGTGAAGTTACTGTAAGACAGAACTCTTAGTACCATATGTTAGTAAGAGAATAAATCTTATTTCTTTAAGTAGGTCCTTGACCAAGAGGAAGTTAGTAGCACATAAAAATTCACACATCTACTTATGAAAACTGCCACCAAAAAATTCAATTCTCACTCTGTCTTGGAAGTCCCACAAACAACTCCACCTCAGCAACAAGGTCTTCCAAGTTCAAGGGCCCTTGTGAGCCTGAAGCAACACCTAAGTCCCAAAATCTCAGATCTGACTTATTTTCTATGGTGCAGCTGGAAGAAGTAATATCCTGTACTACACAAGCATAACTTGGAACACTCACTTGAGTGTGAGGAATCCCACTTCCAGGCTCTTCCAATATTCATGCAGTGTGGATACCGCTTTTCCAGCAGAACTACAAGCTGTTTTGGAAAACAGGATCTGGAACTGTTTTACTAAACATACTACAGCCTGGCCAGAGTGAAGTTGCAAATTTCATGCAGCTGGAAGAAAGGAGAGAGAGGGTAGCACAGCCCAGTGGCTGAGCAGCTTGGAAAGGGAGGGAAGAGCCATCAGTTTCACAGAAGCAACAAGGTCCCACATATCTGCTGGGCAGCTGTGGCGAGCACAAATCCCGATGAGTCCTTTTAAAAAAATCCTGTTATGGGGACCTACCTCTGGAGCAGGGCCCGCACTCCACAGCCTGTAGGCACTGGACTCTGGTCAGCCTTTGCTAAGGGCTATTTCAAGGCTGTTTCTGCTGCGTTTGCAGGTTTCCACCCAATTCTGGCATGCACTACAGAGGGAGATTGTGTGTCCCAGCTCCATGACTTTATTGAGCTTTCCTGGGACTAGCTACTGAAGACACCTGTTTCAGCCCTAAATATGACAGCAGAGAAGCACAGAGGCCACATCCTGCCCTTTGTTCTCGCCACTAAAGCATTGCTGGCCCAACAATGTAAACATGTCACACTTCTCCCACCAACTGCAGTGGGAAGTGTATTGCATCTTCTGTGCTCTGATTTAACTCTCCATCTTGCAGCTGAGAACAAAAGTACTGTCCTTGTGACAAATTTCCTTACTGTAGTAATACAGACAGCAACAACAATGAAGGGAAGAAAAAACACTAGAAAAGAAGTGCATTACTTAGACAAAATAATAAACCATAAATCACTACAGTGACAAGATTGAGTGTGAAACCTCTAATTATACATTTAATCATTCGCCAACGTCTTATTTTCTTGAAGCAATGTTCATGAAGCTTCACCAAGATTTGAATTTGAGACTTATTTTATGTGTGAACTGCAAAAGCAATGCAAATAGAAATGGCTTAAAGACTCAAAAAAATGTATTAACTTTAATCTTCAGCTGTGCTGACAACTTACTGAATGCCTTTATTGCTCTCAGTCACACTAGCCCTCATTTGTGTCATTTTGACACATCACTGTGTCAAAACACATCAAACCCACCTCTATAGCACAGATATGATATAAAATAAAGTAGAAAATTAAGGGGCAAATAAGTGGTTACTTAAAAAGCTGTATTAAAATGCATACTTAAAATACTGTATTAAAACAAGAGACTGTAATACCATTGTGGAAGAAGACACTGTTATTTGTGAAGTATGGACAAACCTGTGTCCCCAGGCTGTATCTGCTCCACTGCCTTTTCACAAGGAGGCAGGAAGCAGCTGCTAGAGCAGAAAAGTGTCTCAACAGCATCTGAACACCTTTTCCTATGGATTTCAGGGCCCAGAAACAGAGAGCAGGGCTGGTTGTTGCTGCTGGGTTCAGAATGGCCGAGGGAATTACCTGAATTCTGTAAAAATTCTGTGTACCAAAGTCATCTTCCAGCACTCTCAGAAGAGTACTTACTAAAAACAAGGTAACCCAAAGCAAAACAAAAGTAGCAAAAATAGCAAAAGTCTCCTTCTTCTTACTGGAACATAAGGCAAAGTCCAGACAACATTTGCATTTAGACAGATGCCCTCAAAGAATGTGGAGTCAGAAAATGCAGACTTTCACCAAAGTCAGAATATTGCTTATATGCTAAGAAAAACAGCCCAATATACTGAAGACATCACCTAATATGAATTGCAAAGGCACTGTTGTACTGCTAGGTTTTGCTTCCCCTAGAAGAGAGCAATTGGAGTTGAAGGAAAAACCCTGGAGTGCCTGTTATTTTGTTTTGTCATGTTGTAGGCTTTGGTAAATTTTTGTCTTATGGTTCCTAGCCAGGGTGGATCTTCACACAGACAAAACTGTAATTCAACTGCTTTTTTTTTTCCTTTCTAAGAACAAACTGAGCCTGGGTTGCAGGCAAAATGGGTTTGCCCCACTCATGATTTTCACCCCAGCAGAGGGGACCAGAGCACATGGGGCCTGGCCAGTGTTTAGGGTGCAGATATGTGCAGGACCAAATACAGAGGGGAAACATCAGCTACTCCAATGGAGGAGGGCAACATTTTTATAATGTCTTTTGTGGAGACAAAAACCACCAGACAGAGAACTCTGAGGTAATCTTTGGGTCATTTTTTCTTCCATGTTTGTCTATTTCTATTTGCATCATCCTTTTGAAAAATAAGTCATCCTCTGTACATGTGGATCTTGATTCCCTTTAATTGGTTGCTGGTACTTGACAGAACCTCTGACTCACTGCTGTGAACTGGAGGAAATGCTCCAGAACCTGCTACAGTCCCTGCTTCTGCCACCTTTTGGAACAGGCAAAGCCAGAAGGAAAAGGGCATCATTTAATCAGGTTCTGACTATTACATAAGGCTACTGCATGTTTGCTTCTATGCTAGGTAATTTTTTGTATGTTTTTGTTGTGTTTTGTAAACAAGAAGTTAGTTATGAGAAGCAGGGAGCACAGGCCCACATCCATAGCAATCTAAGTACAGTTGGCACTGGGAAAATGAGTTTTCTTTCTTTCTTTTCTTTTTTGGATCTGTTTATGAATCTTGAGGAGTTTGGACTGATTCAGTCATAGATATTGCTGTTTCACCTACCACATTTGAAAATAGCTTTGACAGAGCAGCATGCATTAACCCCCTCCTCCCTATATAGGACTGCCTACCTATAAAATCCACATAGAGGGCTTAAACTGAAAATATAGGAGGTGTTTGCCTTAGTGCTTCTGAATGCATGTGAGGGACCAACGTCAGAGTCCTGGAAACATGACACATTTTGATCCTCTTTTCCCCAACAATTACTGAAAAAATAATTCCTGAGGCAATGCTCAAAGCAGGCTCACTCCTTGTGTACCTGACAACATATGACTGAGATGACAGGACATTTACTCACCCTGCCAGCCAGATGATCTGTAGGTCTTGGGAGTTTTTCTCTCTGTCTCTTCTCTAGTCCACTCATGCATCAGGTTCCTTAGAGATATGGGACAGCCAAGGGAATTTACTTTTCTTGCTCTGGGTGTAAGATAGTTACCTGTGACAGAGAGGATAAACACACCAAATGTGGAGTATTTACGGAACAATAATTTCCGTAATTCAGGTAATTCTTACCTCCTGCCTTCAATGGTAGCCAATATTGAGGAATAAAAACCCCAAGAGTTGATTTAAAAATAAGCAGCCTGGAGGAATTACTGTTTAGTAAGAGCCTCAATTTTTTACGCTGCCTTTTTTAGTTGTAAAGAAATTATATGTATGAGGAGAGTTTTCAGTTAATTCTACTGGTTAACAGATCAAATTTCAAATAGATACATTTATTTAGATGCATTTACTTTTAGTTTCTATCTCACTGTTCAGATACTACAATGATTTGTTCTGAAATATTCAGTCTCACCATTTGACACATATTCTCTTCCCTGTAGTTTCTCTAAGCTATTTTTTCTACTGTTTTTCACTCTGGAATGTCCAGAATTAATATTATTCACTGGTATTATTGCTTTTTTTTTAATACCTATAGAATTTTCCCCTTCAAGGATAAACTGCTCAGACGTAAATATGTTTCAAAACTGTGACCAAGCATTTCTGTTCCACTCTTTTCCTCTTTGTATCACCAAGTGAGCTGAGGGACACCAGTTCAAAGCCAAACGTGATCATCATCTATGCCCTGCTCTGTTTCCTGCTCCATTTCCTTTAAAAATACATCTGGTAAAGAGGTGGAAGAGGAGACTTTGGAACGCATGCACAGATCATATCCTCTACAGCCACTGGACCTCAATAGGTCAAGGTGAGAAAAGCAAACATGCAAACCGCAAACATGCTGCACTTAAGAACACTCTAAAAAGCAGAAATGGGGAAATGTCTAGCTTTGTAGAGCTCCCCTGAATAATTTTTCTCTTCTGTCAACTGAATAGCCAAGATACAGAAGCAACAGAGGGAGAAAGGAACCAAGAATAGGTCATTATTTAATTGTCTCACCAAGTCTAAAATACAAAGGACTTTCACTAGGGGTTACTTTGGAGGTAAAATTGGAAACTTCTCTTCAGAGAGTTTTCTATTAAAGGTCATGGGTATCAAAATCTATCGTCTCACTTTAGATCAGTTATAAAGCTACTATAAATAAAGTCTCCTATATGGCTCATTGTCATTGATTCCCACTTCAGTGTAATCGGCACTGCAGACACAGGAAATTCCTAAAATAAACAGCAGTATTCTCTACTTACTGCACTTAAATACGGAGTCAGGAGCTCTGTGTTTATATTTTAAGATATTCATTACAATAAGTAATTCATTGTAATTTAAGATATGCATCATACTTGCTGTACAGCAAATTATTTTATTATCATTTCAATGAACAAATGTACTGTATCAAAATACAGTGTAGCTATGACAACAGTAATTCATATTTTACCACAGTCTTTACCACTAAGCAAATTAAGTAATTTGGCTGAATTGTTTCTTGATAGAAAAAATGTGATAATTTGCAAGCAGTAGTTTTTGCACTTACTGTTCTTAGAGCTAGGCCAGTGTCTTCTTTGACAATTGTAAATACATCAAAATATCTTTCTTGGATAAAAACAGACCAAACAGCTGGAAAATATAGTGTCTATTCTACTGAAACTACTGAAGAACTCATGTGGTAACTGCTCCAAAGTTCTGGGCAAAATACCCCAACAAAAATAAGATTAAAAAAACCAAATACTGTAGTAATTTTACTTACATGCAAATGAAAAATCATGCTAAAAAAAACCCTTGTGGAAATAGATTGGTTTGATATCTTTCACCTTATATTATCAATCTTGCTGAAAAATATTTGGGAATATGAAGATGGGAGTAGGAAGAATGACATGAAAAATATAAAACAAATATTTGCATCAACTTTTTTGACAGCTCCAACTGAAATGTGTCTTCTGAAACCCAAGACAGCAAGAGGGGCCCAGAAGAGGAAGCTGCTTGATGAAAACAGCTCCCCCAGTGCACTGGGCCTTCCCAGGTTGCCATTTGGGATGTCATGCAGGCACAGCAGATGGAAAGCACAGGATGGAGAGGTTGGGAGGGCTACCTGGGAACAATGCAGAACTACCTTGTTCTGGACTGCTTGGATGAAACTGGGCAAGCCAGACCTCAGCTGGATTTGAAATGGCTGAGGAACATGAGAAACAACCAGATGAGCTTGTAGGGGGAACAAAAGCAAGTCTGAGAAATAGGTTGTTGGGAGAGGCTGGCAAATCTCCATCCTTGTAGATACTCCAAATTCAACAGAACAAGGCTGTGAGTGATGTTATCTAATTTTTTCTTGCTTAGACTAGGACATTGATGATACCCTCCAGCACCCTCCAGAAGTCTATTCTAACAAACAAATTGCTGTGATTCAATGACATTATTTAATTTGCCTGCAGTTTTCTTCCCTGTGAATAAAAGAAGGGTGAACATAAGAAGACAAGCCAGAGGGAATAAAAAGTAAAAATTTATCTCATCTTTAATAATTATCTCAAAGAAAGAATACTGAATTTGAACAACAAAAAATGCAAATAAATTATTAAACAGCTACAAATACAGATTTATTTTCTCTTTCACTCTCTATCACCTGTATGATTCTGTAAGCCCTTCACCCTGTTCTGCTTTTTCCCTTTCACTGAAACTAAGTGGCAATACACAGGACATGGAGATTTTGAGTCCAGCCTTCACAATAGGACTTGTAGGGGCCCTTCATTTCATCTGATATTTCCCTGAGCAGAAAACTTAAACTGTACCATGGGGTGGCACCAGACTGTAGGCACTATAATTTTTCCAGGTGCACAGTCCATCTGTTTCTGCCTCTTTGCCTCTTCATGTTTACCAAAAAAAAGTGCAAGAGTTTAGCACCGTACACTTTTCAAGCCTGAGTAAGCAGCTTAATTATTCAGACAAAATAGCATTGATTTGAAAGTGTCTGAACAAATGAAATTCAGGCTTGCCAACCTCATTGAGAAGGACAGCCAACCTGCTGAGGGAATTTCCAATTGTGTTACTTACAGTTCTTGTTTCTTTCTTTTATTTCAGGGTCATTTTATGCAATACAGAGCAAATTCTGGCAAAGCAACCACACAGCTGCTTTTGAAATCAGAGGAAACTTTGCTAAACAGGCAGACCTTCAGCTTCCTCTGAATTCAAGAGCACCCAAAGACAATACATGAATCAGGGAAGTTGACAGCTGACAGTGATAAAAAAATAAAATAGTAGGCTCAATTCAGCACCCATTAAAATGAATGGGACAATTACATCTGTGAATGAGCTGCCCTTAAACATGAAGTAAATACCACACTCTATTGTTGACTCCTTCTTGGACCATAAATTCAAGTCTCCTCAATGTCATTATGTCATTCCACAGGCTCATTTTTTAATAAGCCATGCCTTGTTTTCTTCAGTATTTCCGAGGGCAAGAATTTAGAGAATAGACAGTCATCTTCCACAGTAATCACTTTTATCATAGCAGTTATGCTACAAAATAGAGGCCCTATTATACTCCATTTACTAAATTTATATAGGAATCAACTTCTTGGGCTATAAATGGACAGTATTACTCATTATGTTATTTGCTATAATAGTTGAGCACCAGTGACTTGCAGATCCAACAAAAATCCAAAAATGGCTATGCAAAAAGCCCTAAAATTAAGTTCTTGACAGATAATAACTAATGCTGTACACCCCTACTTTTTATGTTATGAACAATATGTACACTGTATTTATGCAGGAGAAACCAGTATTTAAAACTCTTACATTTATCATAAAAATAGATTTTATTACAGAAAACAGTGCCTTGCCATAAGAGATTTACAATTGATTAAAAAGGATGGCTTGTCCTAAAACACTTACATGATTGCATGCAAAGAAAACAGATGGTCTGTGTAACAGTAATTTGATTTCTTCCAGTAAACATTACTCATGATATAGAAAATGCTTATGCTGATCTACTCCAGAGTGATGTCTGCGCTTTGCCTCTCTCTTTAAATGAAGCCTGTAATTCTGTTCAAGAAACAACTCTGCAGCTCTGGTTTCCCAACAAATCAAATAAAATCAGGTTGTCTAATGCATCATTCCTCACTTAAGAGCTTGACAACACAAAGATTAATTTTAACTTTTTACTCTCCCAAAAGTGCTTAACATAATGCCATGCTCCCTACTCATTTAGTCCTTTTTGTAACAGCTCTTCAGGACAAAGAAAAGAATGCTATTTCTACTTTCATCTCTGAGAATCAGCCAAAATTTAATGCTTATTCTCTTCTGCTGCATCTAACATTCTTCTCCTTTATGTAACTGCAGGTATACAAGAAGCAGGAAAAGTCTTACTGGCAAGACTTCATCTGTCCACTGCAAATTTTGTTCTGTCTCTTGGGTCACACCAAGAATGCTGCTCAGGGAAAGTCAGCACCCACATTTCCTTTACCCAAGGTTTCTGCTTCTCAAACACTGGATGAAAATCTGCTTGCCTTTGTAAGGCAGACAACCCTCATGGGGTTGTTTAAATCACCAAAGTTCTTGGTAACCAAACCATGGATGGGAATTCTGTCACTGGTTCATAGAGGATAGAGGTCTGGGGTGATAAAGGATTCGTGTTGCCTTTTACAGCTCTTTTTGCATGGGATGAATACAGACAGGTCTTTCCAAAAGGCACAAATTTAACCCCTAAGAATGCATCCTTATATGTTTTCCTGTATTTCACAGGGACTTCAACCTGAGTATGTTTCGTCACCTGCAAGTAATAATATTCCTGCTGGAATGTAACCCTATGTGTCATTATCTTGTCTTGTTTCATTACTGTTGCTTCACCTGACTGGCCTGGACTTATCCCAGCCAAATGAAGTAAGGGCACAATCCTATTAAATGCCTGCTGGGAACACCCTAAGCTGCTGCTCTTGTCAGTGGGAATTAAGGGTTCTCGGCACATTGTAACAGGTACTCAGACCCTTGAGAAATTGGACCCTTAATTAGATATTCCCTCATGACATTGTGTGATTATTTAATGTTCTGACAAGATGCCTCAGCAATCTCACAGGCCCT